ACCATAGGCGGAGTTGGGATCACAGTATTAGTTTTTCAAAAATATCTGAGTAATTATAAGAAAAATAGTTAGTGCAAGAAATTTGAACCATCCAACTTAACATAACCAAATACAATATTTGTAAACCTAGTAGAAATCATTTACTAAGAGATAAATTGTAATATAATTGAAGCCTAGCCTTTTTCCAAACTAATTTACGTTAGACATAGAATAGAGGACAACTCCTACTACTTTTTTCAGGTTCATAATGTGGATATCTATATTAAGAAACCAAAGGTCTTACCAGAAAAGATCCAAGACAAATGTGGCATTATTGTAAAAGTTTGTAAAGGATCATATAGGCCATCCTTTGATAATTCCAGTGACTATGAAGTAATAAAAGAGGAACCAAGAATTTAAATTGTCCCATAGAAAAATCTGATGCCATAACAGCTTGTCGTCCTTCTTGGCCGCTGATGCCATTCCCAACATCGGCCATTTGAATCATTGAAACTTCATTTGCGCCTGAATGCCATAGGTAAGGACATTCATATATCAGATTTGAACATATATATTAGTTCATAGAGAATAAATACACCATGATAAGAGAAGCAGGAGGGAATAATACCATCACCAATTGCTAAGGTCATATCATCTGTCCTGTTCTTGATAAGGGCAACTATCCATGCCTTCTGTAATGGAGCCACTCAGCAACATAAGACAACACTACATTCAGTTGCTAGTTTGAAAAGCTGCCACAAATAATAAAAGGCAATTCATGCATCAGTCAGGACACTTAGTTCTAAGAAAGTGTAACGATAGAGGATACTACGAACGATAGTGTTTCGATTTAGAACTCAGATAGTGGCAAGCTACAAGTAGCAGTGGTAATGGTGGTCGCCGGTGTCCTCTCGAGCCGCAGCTTGCCACCGAAATCCGACGCCAACCAAGACGAAGACAAGTTCCCTACGGCTCTCCCTTTTAACGAAACGGTTACAGTGGTGACCACGGACCGCACGAGCACCCGACGCAGCGGGCCAAATCACTTGCTCCATTCTGGGCCGCCATATTTGTTACTGGGCCTCCTCTTCCTCTTCTCCTTGGACGTCTTCTGGTTGCCAACAGTGCGGACTGTGACAGAAAGTCAAAACGAAACCAGAAGTCCAGAACATTCATTGGTTTAGTTGTTGCATTACATGAGTAGCCAATAGAAATTACGGTGTCTTATCAGGGATTCAGCGCAGCCCACTATGACAGACATTCTCTCTTACGATCACTATCAAACTCATGAAGTCCCAGTATATCAAATCTGCGCATTCCATACCAGCACAATACAATAGTACTGTAAGTCAATAGTGCTATTAAATTAATGAAACGTGGGTAGAGAGGGGGTAGGGTGCCGTACTTGTTAACCCGTATCAGCCGCTCCTCCAACAGCGCGTCGGCGCCAGGAGGCACCAGCGGGTCCGGCTCCGTGCCTCCGTCTGTCTCTGCAACTTGGCAGGCGGCGCTCGCCGTTTCCACCTCAGCAGCATCGTGTGAGATGGAGGCGACGGATCATGATGAGGCGCTGGGCATCGAAACGGGGAAAGATATCAGTGCGAGATCGTGGAAGAAGGCGGAAATTGCAGGCGGGTACAAGCGGCGTGGGTGAAAAAACGCGAGGTGCCGGAGTTGCACGTAGAGAGAAACATGCGTAAACAATTAAAAGTTTTCCGGCCGGGCCCGTTTGTTAGATTATGACAGGGGATTAGATGCGTTGGATCTGTGATCTAAGGGACAAGAGTTTAGGTGGGTAGGAAACATGAGGGTGAGAGGTTATTTTCAATTCCTTCGCTCTTTTATAGTATAGATAGTATATTAGTTTGGTCTTTTCCATGCGCAGGAAGCTCGGTGCATGACAAAAGCAAGAAGGCTTGGCGTTCCTACCCCAGTGCTTTATGCTGTGGATCCACTTCTGCATACTTTGACCTTTGAGTATGTGGATGGCTTGTCTGTCAAGGATATACTTCTTGGATTTGGTTCAGATGGGGTTAATGAGGAACGCCTGAATGATATTGCCACACAGATAGGAAACGCCGTTGGCAAACTACATGATGGAGGCCTTGTTCATGGTGATTTGACCACGTCAAACATGATAATTAAGAACAGTAACAATCAATTGGTGGGTACAATATCCTTTTCGTCAATGCCTTCTATTTAATGTATTCACTTTATTGTGCTATGAAGTCAAGTTTATGATAATCAAGATCAGCAGCAATCAACCCGGCAGAGTTGCATCATGGCTGTTGATTTGCAACTTATATATGTTAATCTTGGCAGGTTCTTATTGATTTTGGTCTGAGTTTCACATCAACAATTCCCGAGGACAAAGCTGTGGACCTATATGTGCTGGAGAGAGCTTTGATTTCCATGCATTCGTCCTGTGGGGATGTGGTGAGGAGTTTGCATAAATTGATATTCCAGTTGCCTTTTTCTGATTATATGTGGACATTGATTCCTTTATAGTAGCTATGACGTAGGGAAATTATTCCGTAACTTTATTTTGGCGGGTTAGGGTTACACAAGCAGCCCACGATATTGGATTCATCAATCATTGAAATGTTTGGTCAATATTTGGTTTTGCTTGACTGTTATTATGCACTGGGGTCCAACTGATCTGTGCAAACATTTTCGACTATACCGCACAAAATTAGTTCATTTGCCATGTGGATTTATGATTTTTCCTTTTGTTCGTGGCATCTTGTTTCCAATGGTTTCGATGCTGGTTTGGTATCTTGTGTTAATCATGCCTTAGCAATCTTATGTGGGTAACAGCACTGATTTTGATGATGAACCAGATGGAGAAAATCCTGGCGGCGTACAGAAAGGCTTCGAAGCAGTGGTGCTCCACCCAGAACAAGCTGGCTCAAGGTATGGCGTGGTCCTGGACCTGTGGCAGCGCATGGCCTTTGTTGCTGTCTTATGTAGCTGTGCTGACGTGAGTAATGACCTTTTTATCTACTCTTTGCAATCGATTTTTTTTTACAGTGAGGCAACGGGGCAGGAAGCGCACAATGGTCGGATGATGAAAAATCTGTGGCATGGAATGGCTGGATGTTATATGAAGACTATCTAAACTGAGAGTATTGTACCACCATTTTGTTACTTGCTGTATTTTTGTAGCGGGTGAGTGGCTTTGGCTGCTGTAACGTTTGTGACTTTGTGGATGGAAATTTGGAATTTCGTTGCCCACCACCACCATTTGGTTAGAACTCAGAAGCAGCGTCGTTTCGTCCAGAAGTGGTAGAAGTTTTATTTATTTCTTTGTGCAAAATAATAACTGGGAGACGTGGTTGGGGTATCGTCTGCTTGTTTGTTCCCTCCATTGAATTGATCATGGCAAATGTGTTGCTAGTGCTGTGGGCAAAGGGCTGGGCCTTGTGGGCCGAATGTGACAGACATTCGTCGTGTGTATTTATGGGACGGGGAAGTTGGAAATAAATGGCCCCTCACTCCTTTGTCCTTGTGAGGCCATGCATGTGTTAGTCGGCTCTCGGTCTCGGTCCTAGGGTAGGCTTTCCATTAGTAGCAAGCATGATGCGATGATTGCGTGCTAGTCTTTCCCTTCTGCAGTGCAGTGCAGTGCTGCTGATGGTGCTGGCTGGCTCGTGGCTCCCGATCACGACATGCTCAATGTCTCCGCGGCCGAAAGAAGAAAGGACGCCGGGTACGGTGGTTGAGGGGTAGGGAGAGGCCCCAGCTGGAAGGCAGGCACAGAGGGACGTGGGGGGCCGGGCCGGGCCTAGTCGCTGCTGCGAGTGCAAGCAAGGCAGTAGGCTGGTGGTCCATGCCTGCACTACACTGTACTGCATGCATTCAATATAGTATATATAGGGAGTATCATGCATGTGCGACAAAAGGGAGGGAATGGAAGGAAAGGAAGGCAAAGGTGTGTGCCGAGGTTGAAGAAGAGAAGGAGAAGAAGGCTGCAGTGCAGAGGGCCAGGCCAGACGGCCAGTGGTGGCGATAGCATCACAAGGAAAGGAAGGTAAAGCAGGAGCGGGGCCCCAGCCGGATCGTCAGTTGCAGTCATCATCAATACTAGTACGTATCAGTGGGCAGTGGCCGATCCGATCCATAGTCCGCTACCAGCCTGCCACTACTACTACTCTCCTAGAGAGCTAGTAGACTCGTTCGCTCGCTCCATCTGCCGCTTCCGCTTCCGCCATCCGGCTCCAGCTGTGCTGGTACAGCACGTACGTTTACGAAGGCAAGAAGGTTAAAAAAGGCCGGGCTTGCCTCTTGCCTTTGGTTTATTATGCGGCTTACACAGCCGCATCGCAAACCTAGCCAGTCGCCACGCTAGTCTGCTGGGTTGCCGCTGCGGTCTACCGGGATCAAACAGTTTTTTTCTGAGGTCTGGCCAAAATTTGTAGAGTACGTGAGGCTGTCGCTGAGTCGTCGGGGTCGGCCGACCCCGACTAAGGATGGCAACGGGGATGTACCCGTCGGGTATCGTCGGAACGTTCTCTTCCCCGCTACGGAGAAATCATTCTGTCCCCGTCCCCGTTAACTGTCTCGGGTATAGATTCTTACCCATCCCCGTACCCGTCGGGCATCGGTCGGGTAACAGATACCCGACGGGTACTGCATACCCGATAAACAAGGATATTTGGGGTCGCAGCTTTACAATCGGAGACGTTTCTTCTTCACCCGGATATAAGTGTCGGAGTCTCGGAGATGCCGAGGAGAAGGAGCGAGGTTGCGAGGAGGACGAGCAAAAGTGGCAGAGACACCTAACTGAGGAAGCGAGGGGCACGAGCGCTCGTGAGGCAGACGTGCTTGTGCTGCTGGCGGAGATGGTGAGAAAAAATTAAACTATGGTTCCTAGAACACACAAACTATATATATGATTGTTCAGATTTGGGCCAAACTATATATATGATTCGTATGACAGCTCAAATAGTCGGGTTCCCCAACGGGTAACGGAGACGGGTAAACAGGGAACGTTCCCGTACCCACTATACCCATCGGGTATGGATTCTTGTCCATTTAAATGCCCGCGGGTAAAGATATGATCCCATCTCCGTCCCCTAATAGATCAAATACCCGTCGGGCACTAGTAGAGAACAGATCTTTGATCCTCGGTCAAAATAGGCTCTAGTCCCGTTATTTTTTGCGCCCGGGACTAGAGATACCTTTAGTCCCGGTTGGTGGCTCGAACCGGGACTAAAGGTCCCTTAACCAACTGCTCTCAAGCCCAGCAGTGAGGTGGCGGGGACCTTTAGTCCCGGTTAGAGCCACCAACCGACTAAAGGTATACTTTTACTCTCGGTTGGTGGCTCCAACCGGGAGTAAAGGTTCACCACCGTGCGTGGCTGCGCCTGGGTTGAAAGTTACCTTTAGTCCCGGTTGGAGTTACCAACCAGACTAAAAGGTCCCCCTTTATATCCCGGCCGTCTCCTTCTTCCTCCTTGAGCCCGAGCTCAGCACATTTTGAAGCTCACTGCACTAGTGTTCTTGCTTCCTCCCTCCCTCCATTGTTCCTCCATCCATTCTTCGATTCCTCCGTCGATTCTTCAGTTGTAAAGGTTACCAATCTCATACTCTCATTTTTCACAATTGTCTTATCTCATTTTGTTCAATATATATATATATATATCGTTCTTTATTGTGGTTTTTTTCATTTGTAAGCAATTTGAGCTCAAAATCACTTCAAGCTTGCATATTTACATGAAAGAAGGTTAAAGTAGCTAGTTGAACTTGCGGACCGTGTTCATCTCGGCGAGCATGTTCTCTGCCGAGCGGTAACGGACGTCAAGGAGGAGCTTTGATTCTACGAGGGAGAGCGGCAATGATCGTGGAAGACCGTGTTCCCTTCCTCATAGAATCGGAGCTCTTCCTTGACCAAGTACGGTGTCGTCCAGTGGAGAAATGCTCGCCGAGATGATCACGTAAGCAAGGTCAACTAGTACGGATGGTTATTTATTAAAACATGTTTTTGAGATATAGATAATTTTATAGTTTCTTAATTTTATTTGTTTATAAAATGAGAAATTTATAGTGTATTAAAAATGAGTATAGAGAGTAGATGGCAACCGCTTCGGTCCTCGGCCTCTCATGGGTTTCCAAAGCGACTTAGGCCGGGCCTCCTCTCATTCCATGCGGCAAGTGTCGTGATGAGACGAAGATTGTGATGGAGTACCGAGTTAAGAAGGAGGGTCCCAACAAGGATCGTATCTTCTACAAGTGTCCGGATCGCAATGTGAGTTATTTTATCGTATTTAATGATTATGGTTAGTTTATACCTATTTTCATGATGGTTGTGATTAAAGTTCTAATTTTTTGTTTTAATTTCAGTGGGATGGCAGTGGACGATGTTCAACCTTCTACTGGGAGGAAGAGTATGTTGAACTCGTGCAAAAATATCTTGCACAACAAAGTGATATCTGGCGGCTAATGAGGCGATGATCCAAATTAAAAAAAGCCCAAAGATGTTGCACAATCGTTGGATCTCATGTCTGCTTTAGTTGAGATTGGTCATGAAATCCTTGTGCTCCTGAAATGTATTTTAGCTTTAGTTCTTTTAGTGGTAGTTGGGATTGTCTACATTGTAGCGATACTTTCATAAATTTGTACCTTTTATGGTGGCACACATGTTGTATAAATAATTAATTATGATCTAGGTTTTAATATGGTATTTATGTCATGTAATGCGATGAGCGTGCATTGGATGTACAATGCTGATCGCCTCTCCCAAGAGTTCATTGACGGCGTGCATTCTTTTTTACGTCTGGCCGAGGCAAACAAACGCGACGGTTTCATGTGCTGCCCATGTGCCATATGTAAGAATACGGTGGAATATCCTTGCTCAAGGACTCTTCATTCACACTTGTTCAAGTCGGGTTTCATGCCAAACTATATTTGTTGGACGGCACGGAGAAACCGGCGTTGTAATGGAAGAAGGTGAAGAAGAACAATGGGACGACAATGATATTATTCCCGATGGTGCGTGCTTCAATGATACTTTGCAATGGGAGAAGTTGAAGAAGAGGTAGCCACGAAGATGAGCTCATGATGATCTTTGTCGGTCATTCGTGACGCATAAAGAGAATGTGAAAGTGAAAAGGAGAAGATTAAGTTCGAGCGGATGCTAGAAGATCACAACAAATTGTTGTACCCAACTTGTGATGCAGGGCAGAAAAACTTGGGAACCACACTAGAATTGCTGCAATGGAAGGCAAAGAATGGTGTATCTGACAAGGGATTTGGAGAGTTACTAAAAATCCAAAAGAAGATGCTTCCGAAGGACAATAAATTGCCCGCCACTACCTACGAAGCAAAACAAGTTGTCTGTCCTATGGGGCTAGAAATCGAGAAGATATATGCATGTCCTAATGACTGCATCCTGTACCGTGGCAAAGAGTACGAGAAATTAGATGCATGCCCGGTATGCCATGCATCGCGGTATAAGATCAAGCGAGATGACCCTGGTGATGTTGAGGGCGAACGTCCGCGGAAGAAAATCCCTGCCAAGGTTATGTGGTATGCTCCTATAATACCACGCTTGAAACGTCTGTTCAGAAACAAAGAACATGCAAAATTGTTGCGATGGCACGAAGAAGACCGTAAGGTAGACAATATGTTGAGACACCTGCTGATGGGTCCCAAAGGAGAGCAATCGACGAGAGAATTCTTGAGTTTGCAAATGACGCAAGAAACTTAAGGTTTGCTTTAAGTACAGATGGTATCAATCCTTTTGGAGAGCGAACAGTAGTCATAGCACTTGGCCTCACACTCTAAGTATCTACAACATTCCTCCTTGGTTATGCGTGAAGCGGAAGTTCATTATGATGCCTCGTGCTCATCCAAGGCCCGAAGCAACTTCGGCAATGACATCGATGTGTACCGAGACCACTTATTGACGAACTTCTCATTTTGTGGAATAAAGAAGGTGTACGTGTGTGGGATGAGTACAAACAGAACACTTTGATCTGCGAGCATTGTTGTTCGTAACAATCAATGATTGGCCCGCTCTAAGTAATCTTTCGTGACACCAAACAAGGGATATAATGCATGCACACACTTTGCTTCGGTGATATTAGAGGTGTATTCTTGAAAAAATGTCGAAAGGTCGTGTACCTTGGCCATCGCCGATTTCTTCCCCGCAAATCACCCCGTAAGAAAGAAAGGCAAGCATTTTAAAGGGAAGGCACCACCACGACCAAGCCTCACAACCAAACCGGTGAGGATGTACTCGATATGGTCAATGATGTGAAAGTCGTCTTTGGAAAGGACATGGAAGCCAACTTGTTCGAAGGACGCTTAACGGTCATGCACCCATGTGGAAGAAGAAGTCCATATTTTGGGACCTACCCTATTGGCAAGTCCTAGAAGTCCGTAGCTCGATCGACGTGATGCATGCACGACAAAGAATCAGTGTGAACTGCTAGGCTTCATGGGTGTGTATGGAAAGCCTAAGGACACATTTGAAGCACGACAGACTGCGTTGTTTGAGAGAAAGAGACAACTCTGCATCCAGAGAAGATGATGATGGACGCCATTACTTACGCCTTGCCGGCTACACTCTAAGCAAAGAGGAGAAGGAAATCATGTTTGAATGCTTAAACAACATCAAGGTACCATCTGGATTCTCCTCGAATATAAAGGGTATTATAAATGTGCCAGAGAAGAAATTCTGTAACTTAAAGTCCCATGACTGTCACGTTCTCATGACGCAATTACTTCTAGTTGCATTAAGAGGAATTCTACCTCCAAATGTACGTCTAGCCACCGTGAAGCTATGTGCATTCCTCAATGCAATTTCTCGTAAGGCAATTGATCCAACTGATCTAGCTAAACTACGTAATGATGTGGTTCAATGTCTCATCGACTTTGAGTTGGTGTTCCTCCTTCCTTCTTTGATATCATGACACACCTCCTAGTTCACCTAGTCAAGGATATTTTCATTCTCGGTCCTGTGTTCCTACACAACATGTTCCCCTTAGAGAGATTCATGGGAGTCCTGAA